ATCGTGGACTGTAGAAACAAGTTCGTGGACTGTAGAAACAAGTCAGGTCATATGACGTCATGGACAGTAGAAACAAGTCAGGTCATATGACGTCATGGACAGTAGAAACAATTCAGGTCATATGACGTCATAGAAGTAGAGAAAAGTCAGGTCATATGACATCATGGACAGTAGAGAAAAGTCAGGTCATAGGACGTCATGGACAATAGATACAAGTCAGGTCATATGACGTCATGGACAGTGGGGACAATTCAGCCCACATCTCCTCCAACTCCAACCAAGTTGACGCACTTACTTAAATATCCAACTACGTCTGGTCTGACGCAATCATCTGAAGACTTATTTCACTGAGGACGTAGCACAGACAATTGTCTCAAGACACAACAGAAAAGATCGATTGTTTACACATGACTTGGTGTTTATCACAGGTGACATTGTTGTTTATTACATATGCCATTGTTGTTTATTACACATGACATTGGTGTTTATCACACATGACATTATTGTTTATTACATATGACATTGTTGTTTATTGCACATGACATCGGTGTTTATCACACATGACATTATTGTTTATTACATATGACATTGTTGTTTATTGCACATGACATCGGTGTTTATCACACATGACGTTATTGTTTGTTACATATGACATTGTTTGTTACACATGAAATTGGTGTTTATTACATATGAAATTGTTGTTTATGACATATGACATTGTTGTTTATTACATATGACATTGTTTGTTACACATGGCATTGGTGTTTATCACATATGACATTTTTGTTTATTACATATGACGTTGTTTGTTACACATTACATTGTTGTTTATTACACATGACATTGTTGTTTATTACATATGACGTTGTTTGTTACACATGACATTGGTGTTTATCATATATGACATTGTTGTTTATTACATATGACATTGTTGTTTATTACATATGACGTAGTTTGTTACACATGACATTGGTGTTTATCATATGTGACATTGTTGTTTATTACATATGACATTGTTGTTTATTACACTTGACATTAATGTTTATTGCGATAAATACATTATTTGTTTTAAAAACGTTACACAGCTGTTGCCAATGTAACAAAAACATTCTTTTTTTTGGGGGGGTAATAGTTTTTTTTTTCATAATTTATGTAGAATCATCAATTTCCCAGCCGTGGATGAATGCGTATAGAAAAGTAGATGGCACAACTTCAATCCACCGTAATCTACGACGAGCTGATTTTACATTAGCGACCCCACACGTCTCATCGCTTTCCGTTCTATCAATAGATGCTTAGAGAGTTTGACAACTCCATAAATCAGACAGTTTGAAGGCGAGATGAAACTGTCTGATTTTATGGAGTAGTCGAACTCTCTAAGCATCTATTAATAGAAAGGAAGGCGATGGTATGTTTCAAATGTAATTTACCGATTTGACCTTGAACGTGGAAGAATTGAAAAAGTGTGTGTTGGGGGGGGGGGGGGGGGGCATGGATAGTTTGTATGAAAAGTTCCAGAGCCGGACCAGATTTCAATAACAAACTTTACATCAATAAATTGATTGCTGTACCCGGTATTGTTTTGACAAATATCAATCGCATATTTACTTTGCATCCGTATTTAGTTGGCGAGTTTTTTTTAATAAGTCTTCACCCCAGAAAGTGGGATGTAGGACTTGAGGACAAGATCGCTCTACGATCAGATTTGATTTGTTCACCAGCCCTGCTCTACGATCAGATTTGATTTGTTCACCAGCCCTGCTCTGCGATCAGATTTGATTTGTTCACCAGCCCTGCTCTACGATCAGATTTGATTTGTTCACCAGCCCTGCTCTACGATCAGATTTGATTTGTTCACCAGCCCTGCTCTACGATCACATTTGATTTGTTCACCAGCCCTGCTCTACGATCACATTTGATTTGTTCACCAGCCCTGCTCTACGATCAGATTTGATTTGTTCACCAGCCCTGCTCTACGATCAGATATTGGATTTGTTCACCAGCCCTGCTCTACGATTAGATTTGATTTGTTCACCAGCCCTGCTCTACGATCAGATTTGATTTGTTCACCAGCCCTGCTCTACGATCAGATTTGATTTGTTCACCAGCCCTGCTCTACGATCAGATTTGATTTGTTCACCAGTCCTGCTCTACGATCACATTTGATTTGTTCACCAGTCCTGCTCTACGATCAGATTTGATTTGTTCACCAGCCCTGCTCTACGATCAGATTTGATTTGTTCACCAGTCCTGCTCTACGATCACATTTGATTTGTTCACCAGTCCTGCTCTACGATCAGATGTCATTTGTTCAACAGGCCTGCATACAAAGATTGCTGTTGGATGTCGATACTGAGTCATTTATTGTCAGCATTAGTGAGACACAGATAGCAACATTGTTCCCCTATTCAACTTCATCTCAACATATTTTTTTAAATGTCTCCTCTACGTGGGCTGGCCCCCATGTTTGTTGTCTTTGTCATTCAACTCACTCCTCTTACGGAAAGGCAAAATTTTTCTGACGGTCCCCATCCACCCCGAGCCGACCCTGTGATCTTCTGTGGGTGGCTTGCCCTGACTGGTGACTCGGTCGGACGATGGCAGCTCCGCAGGCTCGACATTTCCACAGCTGGACGAGATGGCCGACACATGATTCGATTCGCTGCCTTCCAGCTTCTGACTCACGTGACGGTGGACCGGGATGGAGAAATGACTCAGGGGGCCCGAGATGACCACGGTGCGCATGGCGACATCGTCCTTCTTCTTGTTCTTCTTCTTTTTCTGCGGCGATTCCGGACCGCTGGGCTTCCAGAGAGGCACAGTGTAAATGTCCACCGGTATCTCCAGGTGACTCTGGCCCAGGACATCCACGTTAGTTGTTCGCGTTGGTTTGTGCATTTCTCTCGACGGCATGATGAATTTCCGGTGGTGACATGCGGCTGGCATCTCCGAGGAGTTTTCCCGGTTTAAGGATTCGACTGAGCTCTTATCTGAGTACACCTGGTCCGACAAGCGGGATGAGCTGGCTTGGAGCGTGGAGTCGCCGGCTTCTGTCCAGTAAACATGCTCGACGGAGTTCCTGCGGTCAGAGCACCTGAACCGTTCGTTTGAGCTGATATGATCGTCTACATCAGCAGGGCTGTCCTCGGACTCAACGTTACAGCTCGACACGTACACTTTGACCGCGCATTTCTCATCCTGATCATGGACAATGTCGTCGCCGTCAGAGAAAGGCTCCGAATTCTGACAGCTGATGGCTAGTGTGGTTTTAGACGGAAAACTATTCTCCCGAATGAGAGCACTGTTGTTTTCCGGGGAGTTCGGGCGCCATCTTTGAGATCTCAGTTCATGCCTGATGCGTGAGTCGTGTACGCACAGGTCTGGCGCGCTTCCGTCTGAATCCATTTTATCCTGCGCCCCCAATGCGAGCTCGTGGCCACTTGTATTACTTGCCTTCTCCACGCTAATGTATTGTATAGCAGTGTCGCTGTCACCGCACGGAGTGGTCTCGGTGCTCTTGCTCTCACTGCTCAAGTTTGTCACGGTGCTCTTGTTCTCAAGGCTTACACTGGTTGTGGTGCTCTTGTTTTCACTGCTGAAGTTTGTTACGGTGCTCTTGTTCTCAGACGACAATTTATTGACAGCCATTATATTATCATTGCTCGAATTAGTTGCGGTGCTTTTGCTTTCACTACTCAAGTTTGTTGTGGTGCTTTTGCTTTCACTACTCAAGTTTGTTGTGGTGCTTTTGCTTTCACTACTCAAGTTTGTTGTGGTGCTTTTGCTTTCACTACTCAAGTTTGTAGCGGTGCTTTTGTTCTCCCCACTCAAGTTTGTAGCGGTGCTTTTGTTCTCAGAGAACATTTTGTTCACAGCCAGTATGTTCTCCCCACTCAAGTTTGTGGCGGTGCTTTTGTTCTCACTGCTCAGGATTGTGGCGGTGCTTTTGTTTTGACTGCTCAGGTGGGTTGCAGTGCTCTTGCTCTCACTGCTCACGTTTGTTGCGGTGCTTTTGTTCTTACTGCTCAGATGCGTTGCAGTGCTCTTGTTCTCACTGATCATGTTCGTAACGGTGCTCTTGCTCTCACTGCTCATGTTATGTGCAGTGCTCTTGCTCTCACTTCTCATGTTATGTGCAGTGCTCTTGCTCTCACTGCTGAGGTTATGTGCAGTGCTCTTGCTCTCACTGCTGAGGTTATGTGCAGTGCTCTTGCTCTCACTGCTGAGGTTATGTGCAGTGCCTTTGTTGTCCGGCAATGTATTGTCTGCATTACTTCTGTTGTCCATGCTCGGGTTTGTTACGAGTCTGTTGAAGTTATTATTGACTAATACCGCTCCCGCGGGAGAAAGCAAACGTCCTAATATGCACTGTAGAGAGTTTTCTATTGACCACACCGACAACCTGTCACTGTGCGCACCCCACGCCGCCATCTTGTCATTTTGCGCACTCCACACGCCTCCACTCCACACGCCGCCGTGCCAACTTCTGCAGGGGTTATCTTTCGGTGATTTTCCTCCGAAAATGTCCCGTTTTGATTTCCCGGTCTTCCTCGTCGTCATCTCGTCACAATGACCCGATCTAGCTGAAGACGTTGCTGGAAATTCGTATAGGGTAGTCTTTTCTCTTGCGTCCTCCGAGAAGAGTGGCGCGTTGAAGGATTTGTTCAGGTGCGTTATTCGACCGAACTCCGCCATGCTTTGCGATCTTCTGAGACGAAACTTTCGCGTGGACACCGGTACCTTGGTCAGTTTGAAGTCCGCTATCTGCAATCTCTGAACGCGGCTAGACACGTTTTTCATCCCTCCCCGGCTGTTGGAAAATATGATGTCCTCCTTTAAGTGGTGGTCAGTGGTGACCGAAAGCGATGACGGGACCCTCCACGCCGTATCCATGAGATCGGACGTGGCGCACAAAGTTTGGAAGCTTCTGTCAGTCTCGGAATCTTCGTCCCTCCCGCCGCGGGGGTACATCTTAAGGGTGGCGCCATCGTCCTTGCTGCCTCGGGGGTTCACCTTAAGGGTGGCCGCCTCTCTCTTGGCATCAAACTCATGGGGTCGAGAAAAAACAGTTGACCTACTGGATGTGACGAAATGATCCTGTGTGTAGACAGTATCGCATTTAAACAGTTTGAGTTCTTGCTGATTTTGGGACGCACAACATTTCAGTGGCGAAGATCTCTTCGTATTTACATTTTCGCTCTGCACAAAGTCGACGCCATCTACATTTGAAGTATCCTGGTGGCTGATATCCTGGTGGCTGATATCCTTGTGGCTGATATCTTGGTGAGTGTCACTTGCTCGGTTGCCACAGATATTCATATAATGATCTCCCATCTGCCTGAAGACACCAGTGGTGGGCTTTATTTGCTCTGCTCGCCCATCCCTACCGTCCTGGTTGTGCTCACCAATGAGCTCCCTCACCATGCTGTCCACTAAACTGCTGCTTTGACCAACGGTCTGAGTGCTGCTTTGATTGGACGGGCCGTTAGTGTCGACATAAAAGCCACGAGCGTGACCATGACCTTTCTCCGCCAGGTGATTCTCCAACGTCATTCTTCGCGGAGTGCCATTGAATGGGCAACTTCTCACATTCGTGCCCTGAGAGTCATCAGATGTGGCCACCAAGTCATCCGTTTGTGTGTTTGATGAGATCAGTTTCTGGATGGTATCCGTGCTGCTAAGACCCGTGTCTTTTATTTCATTCAAACGGCCCAAATACTGTGGCGTATTGTATGATGTTCTCATCAAGTGTGCGCCCTGTACGTACGTCGCCAGACTCATACCTTCTGCTACGGGAAATTCAAACGTAGCTATCGGTACACCATCAGTCTCGCGGGACTGTTGCATGGGAATAACTGACTGTTGGGCGACTGCGGAGTTATGGTTTAGCGAAGGCGATCCCTGATTAGCAGTGTGGGGGAAAGCCTGGTGCATTTCGTGGAGAATGTTAACCAATCGTTCTATCCAGACGTCTGCAGAATCACAAGACTTCCTGGTCGGCGTACCCTGCTCACTGCTCGGATCGGCCTTCAACTTGTCAGGCGAGATATGCTGCTGGTCACGATTCTGCAGAAAGAAGTCATTATTCGCTTTGTGCTCTGAACTAACGCCCAACAGCACAGTGTCGTATTTGCATTTCTTTAGATTCAGAGTGTCCTGGGCCGGAGTGACTTTATCCCATCCACTGGCCTCAAAACAATTTTTATTGAAACCTTTCCCGCTTATCCCGTCTTTGTTGCCTTTGTCTTGGACACCCAGCGAGCTAATGTTCATGATGCCACCTTCTACATCCCCAGCACTGTTGGCTGATGGCGTGTAAGGCATCGCTGACTTGGCGGCAGCATCGTTGTCAGAAACACTGCTTGTTCCATTGAAGTCGAGACTTTCCTGCAACCCTTGCCGCCGGTCATTGCACGTGGCGTCGGAAGAGAACGTCTCATATTTGGAATCGTCCTGGCGAAAGCCGCTCCCCTTCTCAAACAAGTTGACCATTCGCGCTAGGTGTCGACCTCTTACCGACCCTGCTCGTATTTTCCGAGATATGTCAACCCTTGTTGAGCACTCGGTCTGGAAGGATCTGAATCTGTGTGGAGAAATTTTATCCCCACCCTTTGACGGTTTGTGACATTGCTCTGACTTCTGCTGCACATCTGAAGGAGAGGGCCTCCGGGAAGTGGCTCTGTCGTTTACGGGCTTGTCGTTTTGGTTCTGCTGCTTGGCCGTTGTGTTACTCGCCCCACATTCTGGCCAGTACCTCCACGAGGTTCTCTTCTTGGCCTTCGCTTCCTTGTTATCGGCCCCTGTCTTCGCCGCGTTCCGCTCTGCCTCGTGGCAGTCCTTGCACGAGCTCTCCCCGGACTTGATCGTCGGTGACAGCATAGACATGTACTGTAGCCTACAGGTCCTGCAGTGGTCCGAGTTCTTCTCCAGGCGCGTTAAACTCTTCCACAACATCTTGGTTTCCGTCGACAGGACGTTCTTCAGCCTTCCGTAATCCACCGACGTGCCCGACAGACTTCCGGAAGACTCGCTGCTGTTCGACGCCGAGCAGCTTTTTTTGGGGGCCGTCCCCAGGTTCTCGTCCAGCTCTATCGCCTTGTCGGACACGTTCTTGTTGGCGCTGACCAGCTCCGGGTCGTACTGCGTCTCCGTATCAGTTTTAGTCACGACCTGGACGCTGACCTCTCGGGGGGATCTTTCGTTCTCCGTGATGGGGATCCCGGGATTGTCGTTCATGTCAGTCTCTTTGGGGGACACCCTGAGCTCTGACGCGAGCTGTCCTGGGTGCTCTTTGTTCACCGTGCAGGTGTGGCTCAGAGATGCGAGCAGTTTTCTGTTGCTGGTGACTTGCTTCCCTGTGCGGTGGATCACGGAATCACTTGTAGGGATTACAACCGAAGAGGAGGATTTCAGATGAGCGTTTTCCTTCCCTCGAGACAATGAGCGTACTCCGAGGGGTGCACTTTTGTACTTTCCCACGCTAAAGTCATTGGACTTTTCGGGTTCTGCGACTCGTTGGCCGCCCTCTTCTTTAGTATTTGATTGGGTTATTTCCAAACTTTTTGCAGCGGTATGCCCGACATCGGGTGAATGTTTACATGATTTGAGTTCATGGAAGCGTGTTGCCGAGACGCCGATGACAAGCCCATGCATGCTAGTGGTTTGGGAGGCTTTCTCGATCTGAGCTGTCATCACCTCGATGTCGTCGTCAATGTTCTCGTCGCTGACGTTGCACACCGGTGTGGGCATGTCGTAATCGTTATCTGCGCTGACGCAACGCAGGCTGCATTTGCTGGTGACACGATTGTCTGGGAGAGCGCCGGCGTTGGTGGTGCCCACTGCGGACGCTGATCCTTTACGCTGGTCAAGCTTGTCAAAGTTCACGTTGTGCAACTTGGTGGTCATTCTCTCGTCGACGATGTTCTGCACGTAGCACCTGAAACTGCTGGAGTGCACGCACTTGGTCATCAAGTCCCGAATGTTTGGGAAGCCCTGACCCTCGTTTCTCACAAACGACAAATCGGTGACCTTCCCCGTCGATGTCTCGGTCTGAGTAAAGCAGGTCGTGACGAGCGGTCTCAAACTGAGCACATCCCCTGTCTCAGGACGACTGCCGTCAGCCTGATGGGTGCACCTGTGCCTCCACAGACGAGACTTGACCTTGACCCTCCTACCACGCTTTAAGTCCTCGCCGCCACTGCTGTTGGTATTCTGACCTTCGAGCGTCCGTCCGTCGTACGTCTCGTTACAGCAGGTTGCGTTGGAAAAATACTTGTGAACCGTGAAGAGTGTCTGCGTGCCGGCCGACACGGTCGGCGTGATTCTCAAACGTGGCAAGGACTCGCGACTCGAGCTCGCCTCGCTGCTGACCTGGCTCGAAGTGGAGGTCATTGAGATATCACTGAAGATCTGACTCTCGCTCATCTCGGCAGCGCGGACGTCGTCGTGGAACACGTTCGATGACGAGCTCTCCTGCATCTCGGTAAACAGACTGCCCAGTTCTTCGTACGTGTCCAGCTCGTAGTCATCCAGCAGGAACTGGTTCTCCAGCTTGGTCTTGACCTTTTTCTCGTGGTAGGAGCGCGTGAACTTGTCCTCGTTGAACTCGGTCTGCATCTCGGACATGATTGTGGAATCGACGTTGGTGTGGTTAAATCGCTCCTCGTGGCCGACAAAGCTGTACGTCCTGGTCAGGGTGCCTGTCGGCCTCGCGAGGGGCGACCTCTTTTTGCACAGGTTTTTCCCGGCATTGAGGTTGGTCTTCCTGAACGTGTTGAGCTTACACGTGGACTCGGTGTCACGGTTAAACCTCGCGCGGCCATGACCTTCGTTGCTCGACCGAAGGGTCTTACAGGCAGGGCTGACACGGGGGGACGGTTTTTTTGTGGGACTCTTCTGTTCTGAAAACTCCACTCGCTGGTCGGCACCACCGAATTTCGCCCTTCGCGGGTGTTGCGGTCCGTTAGAAGGGTGTGCGTCAGAGTGTTGCTTTGTAAGTCCGATTTTTTTCCGCTTCAGTGGCGGCACGTGATCATCCTCTTTAATAACCCGGTAATGATAAAACCTCCCGCAGTTATCGTCCGTCCCGTTCCTGGGACTGAACTTCCGTTTTCTTGGCTGACAGCCGATGCGGCAACTGACCTGTGGCGCTGGCTTAGGCTCCTCCGCCACGCTCTCCCCCAAATCCTTGGTCAGAAAGACGACCTCGTGGATCTCGCCGTCATAATCCTGCTCGTAAATCTTCGTCTGGTAGACGACGTCACGTGCCTCGGTGAAGGACACGGCCCTTGTCGCCTCTTGTTCCTGGACGTCCTCGTTTGCTTTCTCGGTTGGGGACTCGGCGAGCGCCCCTTCCCACCTTTTGAGAATCATCTCTTGTTCCAGAGCCCTGGCGCCTCTGGTTTGAATGACCTGTATGCTTTCACTGGCGTCTTTCGCTTTTTGGAGCGTCAGCGCCTCGTGGAGTCCGGTCTCTGGGTCATCACCATCGTCGTCCAGAAACTCTGAACCACCACCCGCTTCGTCCTCACCGAGAATTATGAACAATGTCTGGAGTTGAGTAGGGGATGAAAACCACGCGGTCTTACTGCTCCTGTTCGGCATAAGACCGGGGTAGATATCCAGAGGAAACTCGTGCCCAAGCCTGAAGCAGTACGAGCAGTCGTAAACTTCTGGATATCCGTTACCGCCCGTCTGGCCCATGGCGGCCTCACCCATGAGGTGAGGCTGGTTGAATACACAGTTGAGGTCTGTGTCCGGCGCACGTTCCCCTGCATCTTCCTCGTCCTCGTAGACCGTGTGTATTAATGAGTCGAGGCTGGGATACAGGGGCTCTTCTGCAAACAGGCTGTTGTACATGAACACACTGGAAATGGGTTCCGGGGGATCATCCCGTATGAACACGTGATCCTCGGGGATGACATTGCCATCCTTGTCCATTTCCGCAAACAACCTGCGACTCGACGTATTCTCGTGGTGACAGCACTGATGATGAGATGATGGTCTGTCCATAAACATGCGGATGACGTTGTTCATCGAGCCGAGGTGGAGGTCGTTCCACGACGAACTCATGTGGACATCCTTGCAACGAGACTTCGGCCCGGACGACAACGTTTCCTCCGAACCTTGCTCAAGCAAGGTGTCCGTGCCTGGTGATTGCGCCTCCATGCTCACTAACACGTCGGAACATGTGTTGCGTGTCTTGCCCTCGTTTTTGCCGGGAGCCATCTTTTCGTCCATGTCCAAATCCGTGCACGTGACGCTCAGCGACTCCCTGCTCACATGCGTGGATTCGGAGGAGCTCAAAGAATCGGCCTCCAAGTCGCATTTCTTGTTCAGCTTACCTTTTCGCCTTCTCTTGAATTTGAGAGAACTAAATTTCTTGCTCCAATGACCTCCCGTCTGGTTCAATTGTTTGAGCTCGAAGGGGTCTTTGCCCTGATGGCGGTAGATATTGGACGCGCATCGTCTCTGCTTACAGAGTTTCTTCGGCTTCCTCGCTTTCTTCCTGCTTGCGTACTTTTTCTTCACCTCTGTTTCTATTCCCATGAAGAAGGACAAGAACCTCGATGTCAGAAACGTCACCGAATCTAGAAACTCCTGCTCGACGTTCTCGCTGAACGAATGGTTGTTGTTCTCCGAGTCTTCGCTGTCGCAGTCTGTCGAGCTCCGAGTCTTGGAAGCGGCGGGCGTTAACTTCAAAATGCTTTTCACTCGACCACATTTTGGAAGCAATGGTGCGTCTGAACCGAATGAAATAGATGGCTGGTCATCCAGAGTCCAGCTGCTGTGTTCCGTGTCGTCTTGACTAAAACTCGTGGCGCTGCTGGTCGTCTCCATCAAGCTGACCTTACTCGAATCAACTCCCGGCGGTTTGGTCAAAGAAAACGTCTCTAAGCTCGACAAATCGATGTTGCTGCAAAGTTTGACCAGTTGTTTCTCGCTCGTCGTACTAACGCTTAGACTCGTGTAGTTGAAGTTTTCCGAGCTCCTTTCCAACGGGGACATTGTCATCTCAAAGTGACTCCCCCAGGGTTGTTCGTCCCGTGTTTCAAGTTGTGTATAGTGACCGCTCACCTTTCCGCAACACCCTAAACAACTCTGTGAGCATTTAGGAGTTTCTAGAGACGTCAAAGATTCTGGATTAATTTTCTCGAGCGGAAGCAGATTTTCTCCCGTTAGACATCCGGGTCCCCAGACGGGCTCTGTCTCAAAATGAAATCGTGACAATAGGACATCGCTTTCGTCAAAAAGCTTATCAGAGAATGACGGGCCATCACTCGGATGTGTCTGTAACTGAGAGCCGTTGGTCGTCTGCTGCCTTCCTGCGATAGGATCCTCGCTGAAAAGAATCAGCTGCTCCTTGGTCGTATCCGGAGAACAACTTTGAGTCTTTTGCGAGGAATCGTTCTGATCAGACCTCTTCGAGCTTTCGACACTGTCGCAACCGAAAAACGATTTCAGTTCCTCTGAGGTGAGCACGAATCCAGCTGGTTCTTGGAATGGCTCCACTGGTCTGACCTCTGGAATGTCAACACGTGGTCTTGCGGCGTCCCTGGGGTTGTAAACCGTTGAGTGTGAGCAGATGGGATTCCCGGGATGGAGTTGTTGGTTGTGAGTGCGAGGAATACCTGCAGCGGTGCAGGCAGGCATGACGGTGTTTTCACTGTCTGAAGGTGACGACACGAGCAATGTCTCAAATCGAGTGATGAAAGGATTCCGGATGGCGTGTGTGATAAACGGGTTGTTATTTTTAAAAGGTCCGGCTCCTCCCGCGGGGTAGCTGGGTCCTCCCGTGGGGTAGCTGGGTCCTCCCGTGGGGTAGCTGGGTCCTCCCGTGTGGTAGCTGGCACCCGGAGCAAACATGGCAGCGGCTTGACACACACAAGGGTTCAGAGTCGCTGAGGTGTTTGTATGAGTCGACAGACTGAAGATGTTTTTTTGTGTTGTTGGGCTTGAGTAGATGGACTTTGTTGGAAGGAGGTTGTACTTTTGTCCAAACTGTTGTTGCAAATCGGACGTCCAGAAGCCTCGGTGAGTCGGGAGACTCTGGTTTCTGTCATCCTTTAATGTGAATAGCTCGCAAAGATCACAATGTGAACTGTCATCCGCAGAGCCGGGGAAGGAACAGAAACTCAAATGTCGTCCCTCTTGGTTGGATCTGCTTTGCTCGGATTCTCTGACAAACAGGTAATTGGGTAATGGCGATTTGACCAGATGTGTTTCTATGTGGTCAATGTCTTTTGCTACAGCTGCAGCGTTTTTCCGCACTCCCTGTCCAGAGAAAACTCTCATCATATGTTGTACTGACTCATCTGGCCTTGAATCGTGTGCTACCAATTCACGGGTTAAAAACGGGAAAGGAGTGTCTTTAACTGTGTCCGAGTACACCTTGTCCTCCGCCAGTTTAGGCTCACCATAATATGGTCCGTAATCAAGGATTCCCCCAAGCTCAGCTGGCACGTCCCTCGACTCTTGCTGGATGTTTATCAGACTAAACTGCGTGTGTGGACCGATTAAATCACTTTCCTCGTCCGTTTTCCCGAACAACAACGGACTCATGTCGTAGGCAATGATCAAGTCATCATCTACCGGCGTTTCATCAGGCAACAGGCTCGAGAGCCTGCCGATGTGCTCAGATTTCTCACAGGGCTCGTTGATGGCCATGTAGGAGTTGGCACAACTGCCAGAGTCACCGCCGGAAATTAAATTTCGGAGAGCTTGTAGGGCCGGGGGTTTTGTAGTACATCCAGGACACGAGCGGTGCATCCTGGCGCAATCCTGTCTTGACTTTGCTTTTGGTGGCGACGACACGGTATCCCCCCTCCTCCTGGTGGCAGTCTTAAGGAACGATTCCAAGTTCTCCAAGGCTTTTTGCTGGATGTACTTGTAGTTGATGGGCCCTGAGCGAGTGAGAACCCTCACCGGATTGAGGTTCACACGAACTTGTGGTTCTTCGTCAGAGAGTGGTGGGGAGGTCGATCCACTGGAATTTACATTCGTGCCGACGTCCGTGGACGGTCCACGGGTAAAGGTGGGTCTGTGTCCATCACCCTCCTCGGAGCTGGGGCTGAGCTGATCACAGTTTGAGACCAAAGCCCGTGTCACCGAAAGACTACGAGTCAGAAATCCTGGCTTCTCAAAGTCTTGGCGACCGACCCCTTGATAAGATGTTATTATCTCTGTCGCCTTGTTATCTTCTTCTTGCTCTAGTTGATTGCGCGTACCGCCTGCCTCTCGACTATCTTCGGGTGTTCGGGTTCTCTCCGCCATATTCTCCATTTTACAGCAATGATTTATCTCCCTCACCTTTTCAATGTTCTTCATAATCAAACCGTCTAACTCTGTGCTCTTGTTTCTTTCTGCGCGAACAATGGACGCGTATCGCTGTGAGTCAGGTTTCCTCGAATTGGTTGCTTCAGTGCCACCAGGACTTCGATCACTATAAGTGTCGTCCCGCGTTGCCCAATATTGATTTTTATCGTTCATCTTCTTCGATTTGCTTGATTTGAGATTATCCTGATTGGCGACATCAATCGCATTGACAACAGTTTTCAAGTTTTCCTCTGTACGCGTTGACGAATCGGGAGCAATGTTACTTTGGCGAATATGTTTATCGTCTCCTCCATTGCTGGTCGTCACAGCTCTGTTGGCCTCGGTTTGGATATCAACCAATATGCAGACTTCGGGTTTAACCTGAAGACAATCGAAAAATCCATCAGCTCTAGCTATCCTTTTGTTGCTGCTTCGTGACATTACGGTAGCCCCACAATCATCCATGCTCAGCGCCCTAAGTCGCGCCCCGGTCCCCGTCTTTGGATAACAGATATCGCTGTTCCGGGCTCCCCCTTCTGGTTGATATTTTGACCCGTCCCTCACTTGGAATTTCGTGAACGTGTGTTCACGTGTGATAAGCTGTGTTGGTTCGATTCCCTGGCTAATCTCATCAGGTCCCATCATGTCTCCCTTCACACCAGCGACAATGTCATTGACTCTGCCCTTATCCTCACCACTTCCATTATCATTGACTCGGTTATTATCTTGGCCACTGCCATTATCATTGACTATTGCATTACCTTTGCCACTGCCATTATCATTGAGTCTTCCATTATCCTTGCTACTTCCATAATCCTTACCACTTCCATTATCATTGCCACTGCCCTTATCATTGCCACTAGCATTATCCTTGTCACTGCCACTACCCTTGCCATTATAATTTAGCTGTCCCTTTGTCTTTGTGTTTTCATTTGTCCCCGAATGGTGACTCCCAGATCCCCCCACGTTCACCAGATTTGCATTCAAGTGGACGCCATCGACCCTTCCACAGATAAAGTTGTCTATAGCCACGTTGTAGGTACCCGTGTGCCCGCTGAATGGCTTCCACTGACAACCGACGATCTCTTCAAGCGCTATGTGGATCCTCATGCCCAGCTCCTGCTGCTGGTGAAATGCCTGCTTGTCGGGTGTGGCCATGGGAGTGAGATAACTGTCGAACATCGCACCCATCTGTGCATGTGTGTTGGGTCGTGCGTCTGTGGGGTCCGCCACGAGCCTATTCCCGTTATCCTTGCACGCCTCGGCGTCCATTTCCGAAGAACCTTTGTGGTTAGGAGTCTCGCCGCCACTAGAGTATTGGTCATTGTTATCGAGCCTTTCACATTTGTTCTGCTTCAAGTGGTCTTCTCCGGGCTTATAGTTTTGTGAAGGAATCAGTTCTTGGGTGTTGGGCATATAGTTTTGTGAAGGAATCAGTTCTTGTGTGTTTGGGTTATTGGTGCAGCTCGGCGGAGTATTACACATAGGAAACATTTGGCTCGAGCATTCTGGCGCGATGGCCTTGTCTGGCACCAAGCCAAAGGACCGACCCTCACTGTTATCTTGGTTAAGGCTTTCCGTCTTATAGGTTTTCGGCTCACTCCAGATTGATGCGAAATCAGCCTTGGTGTTTATAGAATCTAGTTGCGAACTCTTGAACGCCTCAGATTTTATTGTCTCCTTTGAAGAAACCGTGACGCAGTTGGTCTGAATCTGGTTCGGTGTGATGATTATTTCCGAGTATGACCTGGAAGCTATTAATATCCCGGAGGTTTCATTATTGTCATCAACGCGATTGCTTCCCTTGCTACTTTCTGAAGTTGCTTGATATCGTAGCTCCGCCTCTAGGACGTTCTTGGACTGAGAATTTTCTCTTTCTGTTAAATCTGCTTGTATCTGAGCCAAATGGCGCGTGGTTATCTCCCCTGTCACCGATATATCCACGTGTTTTGTTGAGGTGGACTCCAGTGTAGCTGTGTTGCAGCATTCAACTTGTTTGAATTCCACCCCACTAGACTGTTCATCGGTGGATTCACCGCACAAGACCATCTGATGGTTGTCCGTGCCTTTAAATTGCTCATCAGAGACTTGCAGACTTGCCCCATTGGTAGCTTTGCCTACAGCAAACGATTGCAAAACGGTCACCTGCTGAGTCCCTTCTCCGTCTTCATAAAATTCTTTTTCTGCGGATTTCGGTGTGTGAATATTTACATCTTGTGGGTGCGTATGCTTGTGGGGAGGAGATCTAATCACTTTTTTATGTGAATGAACTTTGATCATTGTTGCAAAGTCCTGCCCCTTGTCTGCCGAGAATAATTGCCCCTTGTCTGCCGAGAGTACCTGCCCCTTGTCTGCCGACAGTATCTGCCAATCATCTGCCGAGTGTAAACTTTCTCTAGCTCTGTGCGAAATTTTAAACATCTCCGAGTTAGAACTGGTTTCCGTCGTACTACTGCTGTCCTGGTCATTATGTACTTTACTGGAGATGCACTCCGCATTTTTATCAGACGAAGAGTCCCTCCTGTGGTCAATGTCTTCTGTGTCATCGTTGGGTCTGCTTTCGTCGAGGAAATCAGTCACGAATTTCTCACTCTTGACCACGCTGTCGTCGTGTCCAAAATTTCTTCTGTGGTGGAGATCCTCTACATCGTCAAGTAATTGGTCAGCGTGCGACCTTCTCGTGTGCACCCAGGTCGCCGTTTCAGGACCCACGGTGTAGCTCTGAAAACCCCTCTCGTTGCTGTTGGTTTCGATAAGTTCAATGTCCAAGCCTAAGAGCTCCTTGGTCATAACAGGTTTTTGTGATTTCATTTCCATCTCTGCAGACTCCCATGTTAAATGTTGATCCGGAAGAAGAGAATTTTGTTTCCCGGTGTTTGAGTTGACCAAAGCGATATGGGGAGGAGATTTGAAGACTTCGTGGACCGGCATAATAATCGTGGGGCTTATATTTAGTGCCTCTGGTCGCAGTGATGACCTCGATTTCGGCATTTGCATGTATTCAGTGTCGTCTAAGTAAAACCGTTGTTCGTCCTCTTGTAGGGAAATAGCGTGTTGGCTTAATTCGTCCTTGAACGTGTTATCTGACGACAGAACTTGTTCAGATAGGGCACTACACATTGCTATATGATCTATTCCTGACTTTGCCTGGCCTCTAAAACCTTGTCCTCTCTTTTTAGGACTTCTTAATACCCCAGTCAGTGGCGGACTAATGACTTTGGCAGTCACAGTGGCGTTCTTTATCTTACAGTTCTGCAGTTCGTTCGTCGTCAGATCGGTCGAGTTTGGGGATGTCTTGATATGCGAGACCCCGATTATCTTCGCACTGTCATCGTTCCGTGCTTTGGACAACACCGTCTCGAGACCGACATCCGGGGACACGCCTTTAGAATTTTGATCCAGTGCATAAATCAGAGTCGTCCTCTGTTTCGGTACCGGACTCTGGCCTATCACGTGACTTGCATCGAGCGGCATGACGACGGCTTTTAAGCCCCTGGTGGCTGATGATTTACCGTCAGGTGATTTCAAAGGGTCGTTGGAAACGAGTGCCTTGCCATCCATCGTTTTGTCTGGTGAATTCGTTCTCTCGGGACTGGAAATCTCAAGAAGGGAGTCGCTGCCAACAAGGTCCATAGTGCTCGGCAGATCCTTGCTGCAAGTTATATGTTTGGATTCGTTGATAATCATCTCACACGTTTTGGCCACGGCCCGTTTCCTCAACGTTTGAAAACTCAACAAATCCGAGTTTTCGCTCTCCTCGTCAGAGGCGTGTTGTGTTTTGCCGTAAGCAGCTTGGATTTTTTTCAGCAGCATCTGCTCTGGGCCGGTGGATTTGTAGTTGTGGCCGTCCAGGCTCATTCGGTTATTGTGGACGGTTCTCAACAGCGTTGGTGGACTCCTTGCTGCAATCGGAGGTGTTGGGGGGCTCTTTGCTTTGACTCCTTGCACGTTATGGGCCATCTCTATTCCAGATTTAGCTCCATCCTCTTCCTTCGAACGCGACTCGTCATTATTCTGAGATACAATGTCATCCAACGTCAGGTCTGGTCTGAGACCTTTGAGGTCAAATGTGACGTTGTTGCACACCGTCCCGTACCTGCTCTCCGGGTCCTCCTTGTCACTCAGCTCCGAGGAAGAGCTCAGAGAAATCACAATCGACGGAACCACTTCCTTCGTCTCCATTTTTTTCTTCTTCTGGGGCCATGCTTTATTCTTAGCGCCCAGCGGAAGCCCCACGTACTCATCTGATCGGCTCCGTCTCTTTAGAACGTTACTGGGGTCAATTGTGGCTTTCCGGCTCCGCGCTTCCGTCGCAAGGCGGGGAGCTCTCGTCACTGCTGTGGTCAATGAAGTGCCTCGTTTTCGTATCATGTGAAGACGCGACCAGGATCTCGACATGTTGATGCCCCCTGACGAGTCGATGCCTTCTGACGTGTTGATGCCTTCTGACGTAGTGACGCCTTCTAAATCCTTAACAGCGGAGATTATCTGGCTTTTTTCTGGTGTATTTTTTTTACTTGATCTTGTCGCGCTCTGCTGACCGGTCCGTCTCTGTGGAGGTTTCCATTCTGGTTTCATCTCAACTCTCGACTTCAACGTTGGGGTTTTGGGACGTTTGTTCGTGGTCAGTATGGCAGACGTGGACACTGACTTTTTGGCTGGCCTGTGAATTGGATCCGAAGACTTCACCATACGCACAGAAGAAGATTGGGATGTCGATGTTTTTAATCGATGAGGGCTCTTTTTGAAAGCAAGGGACGCTGAACGTCTTTCCGCCGATGGAACTAAAGGCTGTGTACCTAAGTTGTGCTTGCTGTCGGATTGCGTTTTATGAACTTTATATAAAACGGGCTCACTGAGACTGCCTACTGTCTGTCCATTTCTTGATCGTATCATCGCCTCCTTGACTGCGGATGAACCGGTCAATGCAGGCTTGTGTACGGTACTGAACAAATTTACCCTTTGCGGATGTTTCTCGCCCGAGGTAAGTTCAATAATTGGTCTTTTGTTTTCCATTCCCGTCAACTGTTTTTCACTTTGCAGCGGCTTTCCAAAACCAGACTCTAAACGCTCGGTCGATGAATACCTCATTCTCGGATTTCTCTGACGTAGGCTCGCGTTTCTACCACTTGAAGACGGATTGACAAATTCAGGTTTCTTCACCTCGAGGTTCACATGTCCGTCATGCGTGGAAATGTGCGTGGTAGGAAGATCGCCCTTCACGGGGACGGCTTTGTTCTCGGGTGCTGTATGCCTGTTATACTTTGGCATCGGGAGAGGGCGCCTAACAGTGGAACCTGTTTGTTTGGTTAATTTAGTTATTTTTGTTTCCATGGCACCAGATTTCACATTAGCTTTATCTTTATGCTGGTCTGTCTTTGACGCTCTCTGAGCCGTGCTCACCGCACGCAAATTCGAAGAACTCTCAAGTTTCGCAACAAAGTCTTCTAATTTTGTTGTCGTGGTTGCTGTCAGCCCTTTATTCTCAGTTTGAACTCTTTTTCTCATGTCTGTCGTCGAGACACCGCTGAATGATTTCCTTGTCACCAGGAGGTCTGACCGGCTTTTCTTGGCCGGACTTAGCTTCTCGGCCTCATCACTATTTGTCTGACTGTCATCCCAGCCCCCTACAGGGCCCTGGAGGCCTGGGGTGACCGGGGAGATATTCAAGCTTAGAGGTGGGGCTACGATGGTGATCCCAGAGTGCGCCCGCCTCGAGCCGGAGCGCCCCGACCGAGACGGTTGGAATCTTTGCTGGATGCTTTGGAACAACTTGTGCATGTTGGTGTGGTCTGAGTGCGGTTTTGCGGAGCCGGGGGAAGACTCTTTTCTACCCATTCTGTAGTGTTGGGACGTCTTTGCTGGCGTTTCTTTGCTCGGCTTTAATATCGGGGAATGCCGAGGACTCATTTTACAACTGCCTGGTGACCGGTCTGCTTCTGTGCCAGCTGTCACCCTGTGGGGAACATAATGGCTGCCGGGCGAACGGTCTGTTTCTGTAACAGCTGTCACCCTTTCTGGAACACTGTGGGGGGAATTGCCGCCAGAAGATTTGGTGGTAACCACTCTTGTGGCGGAGAGGGAGGACGCTCGTGTAAACTTTCGTTGACCTATGACTTGGGAGAGCCCCGATCCATCTGACTTTTTGACCTTCGACTTTAAATTCTTGGTGTTCCACGCCAACGCCCCCTGAGATTCGGTGACACTGGACGGTCTTCTCTGGTGGACGCTGCTGGACGACAGCGATGCCAATACTTTGCCGTTGGAAGATTTTGTCGGGAGCTGGTAGCGAGGCAAGTCTTTTTTCCCCATGCTGGACTCGCCCATGAGAGAACAGAAATGCTGACGCGCCGTCTTACAGGAGATTTTTGTCGGAAGGTAAGAGTCAAATTTCGGTGGCCTTGCGGGAGGTTTGATCATCTTCATGTCTTCTGGGGTCACCGCCTTCTCAGTATCGTATTTCAGAAATGTAGCAGACTCTCCCGATTTCTTAATTGTGTCTTCTATGGTCCGCCCGCTAAGAGAAGGAGCAACTTTCGGCGAAAGCAAAACCTTTTTGTCAGATTTCTGATATCCCACTAAAGCCGGACTTGGGGATTTTATAGTTTTTTCGAGCACTGCCGAGTTTGAACTTCGATGTTTCTCGAAGTCACCATCCAAGAAATCTCGGATCTGTTCAGTGTCTTTTCGTGACTTATCCAAAGTTTGCTGGATGTCCTTCCTGGCCTGGTTGTTCATCTGGTGTTGACTGCCCATTTTTGCCTGCATGTCAAAATGCGTCTGGCCGGGGGCAGTTTTGGCCACCGTAGCAGATACGGTGTTGAGCTCATCAAAAATCTCCTGGTAGCTGTTGATGATCTGATCCACCGTGATGTCCAGCTCCCGCTCCGCCGAAGCCAGTGCATCCGGTTTCTGTAGGAACATTCCAAGCGCCTGGGTGGCCCGAGCTGTCGGAGACTTGAGTATGTTTTGGAGCAGCTCAAAGTATTTGATGGGCCGTTTGGCCATCAGAGAGCCTTGCGTTGACCTCGTGTCATCGTCTTTTAGAGTCGCGACGTATTCGTCGCGCCCCATGTTTGCTTGAATGGCCAAGTCCTTAACGTACCCATAGTCTTTTGGGACATCTAAAGACTGCAGTGGTCGGGACAAAAGGCCGGGCGATTTAAAATTTGGATTGGTCTGTTGAAGTGGCTCCGTTGTCTTTTTGGCCAACGTTTGAGAGGGTAGGATGCTACTGTTCACTGAATGGCAAATAGGCACCGACCTCACCTGATCTCCACGTTGGTTTCTTCTGAGCTCTGTGATGACTCCGGTCTTATAGTGCCCAGCCTTGTTCGTGGTGTCCACTGTTTTACTGGACCCGTGCGTTAAATCATCGCTGGACTTCACACACCGGCAGTCACTTTTGGTGATGGACAAAGTTGTCGTGGTGTTGCTTTTTACTTCGTGTCCTGATTTGGCGTCATCCGTGCGAGAGTGACCCAAAGTCTGGGAAGTGACGGCTATCTTTTGGCCCGGATTAATGCATCCAGCGTACCCCTGGTTCCACGAAAAAACGGACGATGTGTCCGATGTGATGGCAGAAACGGTGTCTTTTGTTATGGTTATCCTGTGCTTGGAAGTTGCGGCCCTCTTGAAGACCTCAGACTTATCGGCTTTGTTATGCAGCGCTGTGTTTTTAGGCTGTCTTTTTTTCTTCATCTTTGATTGTGGCTCTCCCTCGCTTTTCTCTTTGTCCAAGGTGATCTCTTTTGCCTGTTGGAGTCTTTTCTTGTGTTTTTCTATCTGGTTGCGTATTCTTCGAGAGGCCGATACGACACTGTGGTCGTTGTAGTTTACCCTTGCGGTCTCCACCGACGCCTGCTGAAAGCCATCAGATTTATCCGTTTTAACCGATTTCGTCTCTGACTTGATCCCATCAGATTTGACATCAGACTTTGTCTCTGGTCTGGTGACCCGCTTTCTGGTCGACGTGTGTTTTTTCTTGGACACCGAGGCGGTGCTGCTGTCGTCCGTTCGTTTGGTCATCGCCTTGTAAGCCTCGCCTTTCTTCCGCTGGATTAAAATCTGCAGCGCTATTTCTTTGTACCGGGCTATCTCGGCTTCGGACAGCGGAGAAAATCTGGGCCCGCAATCTTTGGGCATGTCCAATTTTCGAGAACACTTTTCCAACCCCCGACTGTCGGACCGCCTCGACCAATCAGAGCCGGATCCTGTAGTGCTTTCCGTTATTCCAGGGGAATCGTGCACGTGAACGGTTTCGTTTGACCCACTTTGCTTTAGTTTGGAGTGTTCGGACCGGCACGCAGTATTAGCTGGATGTGTCTTCAGTCTGATGACCCCTGTTTTGTTTCGATGGGATAATTCTCTGTAGTCATCCGAAAGTTGATTCGACTTGCTCCCATGACGATATTTAGCATTGCTGCATGTTGATAAAACGTTATTCTGACGCGAGCAGTTTTTGACAGAGTTGGACGACTGGGCGCTCGAGTGTTTTGAAGAGAATTCCCAATTTTCGCCGACATCTCGAGCATACGTTGTTGGAGATTTGTAATTTGATAAAAATATGTTTTGAAAGTCTTCTTTGTCTGGAGGCAGCCGCTTTTCAATGATGCTGGAGTCCCTCTCCGAACCTCCGCTGAAATCTCCGTCACGCTCCGCGCTAGATCCGGTGGCGAGATCTGCACTGGATTCCTCCACGAGTTCTGCACTGGAATCTCCGGTGAATTCAGCGCTGGACTCTTTAAGGCACTCCGTACTGGAGGCTTTCGTGTTGTCGACGCTCGTCTCTTTGACAAAGACCTTACACTCGACATTCGGCCATTTTAGCCGAGCCTGGTAATCAACGTGAGGGTTTTTAACAGAGATAGACTGAGACGTCTCAACTTGCTGTCCACCGGCGGAGGCAGATTTCTTGATGGCAACCGTCTGACTTGGGTTTATGTACGAGCCCTTGGCCCTGTAACAGGTCTCTTTCACCTTCCTCTTTGGACCGACCAACGTCTTCGCCTCGTTTAGTTTCAGGGATTCTCTCCTTGCGGCACTGCAGCATTCGTCGACGGTGTTTATCTCTTCGACTTCACTCTCTTCATCAGACAGAAGGCAGCTCTGAACGGCGACTTCAACCTTCCCCGTGTGTTGGTCGCTTCGGGACACCTGACTGATGTTGTTGCTGCGGGCCTTGGTCCTGTTAAGCTTGGAGAGCTTCTCGTGTACCGTGGACCTCATGTCATTGGTGGTGGACTTGGTTTCCGCTCCGGACTTGCTGTCGCTGGTCCTGCCGTAGATCAGACTGGGCTTATCGCTCTCGTACACCGTCTCGAACGTCTCGGTGTCCGTGAAGTATTCTTCGCTTCGGTATTCACCCCCGGCCCGGTACCCCATCTTGACCTCGGCGTTGGTACACGTGTCCATGGCGCTGTAAACATTCGGTGGCCTGTACTCGGACAGTCGGCTGGACGACAAGTTGCCGCATTTTTCTCGTTTTGTATTCAGCAGGTTCTTGACGTGTACCTTCTCCACGCAGACCGTCTGTCGACGTATCTGTCCTTTGACCTTCGTTAGATCTCCATTCTTAGTGACCAGCTCCGTGCGCTTGGTGTCCAGTAAAGATGTCTTTTGACTCCTGTCCTCCCCCGTTGAGGCCGACGTGCACAGTTTGGGTCTGAGGACGGTGCAGGTATCGTTCTCAAGGAATCGTATTTCCATGGCCTCCCAAACCGACGCGTCCTGCAAACAGTCGGACAGGTCCAGTGGAAAGTTGGCCGACTCATATCTCGTGGTTGTGGTCTTGTTTGTGTATGAGGGATTTGTGACACAGTTGATTGACTTCTCGGTGACACAGTTGATTGACTTCTCGGCTGCCCCTTTTACTGAATCCCGAGACGAGATGTTTTTCAGCTCTCTCTTCGAGTCACGTGAGCTTTTTTCCTCCGATGGGCGGACCGGTACCGGTACTAACTTTTTGCCCGACGCTGTTTTCTTCTTTCTGTGCGCGCTTTTCGCCTTGGATTTGACACTCTTGGCTACTGCATGTCTGAGCTTGGATGATGTGGATGTTGACTGGAGGCTATCACGGGCGCTTTTTCTTGAACTTGCCATTATTTTTTGGAGCGTCTCGCCTTTGGATTGTAGGAAATGAATCTGGGAACGATTGGGTGGCAATTAGAGTTTTATTGAAAGATTACAAATAACTTTTCTAATTTAATTACACAATTGTGATAAAAACTACGGACATCTAGGCTAGCACTAAACTGATTAACATCTAGGCTAGCACTAAACTGATTAACATCTAGGCTAACACTAAACTGATTAACATCTAGGCTAACACTAAACTGATTAACATCTAGGCTAGCACTAAACTGATTAACATCTAGGCTAACACTAAACTGATTAACATCTAGGCTAGCACTAAACTGATTAACATCTAGGCTAGCATTACGCAGATTTAAATCTTGGCCAGCAACAATTTGATTTAAGTCTAGGCTAGCACTACGTTGATTTACATCTAGGCTAGCAATAAGCTGATTTACATCTAGGATAGCACTGAACAGATTTATCTCTGAGCTAGCACTTAACTGATTTACATGGTAGTTTTTTTGACGAAATGATTGCTAAAAAACTCCCTCCTGAATGTAAATTACTAATTTATAATATCTTACTAGCAGATAGTTTCTCGTGAAGTAACGGTAACTCACTAAGTAACGGTAACTCACTAAGTAACGGTAACTCACTAAGTAACGGTAACTCACTAAATAACGGTATCTCATTTACATATTGATTCTAACTTACTTATCTACCATAACTTACTGGCAGATTGTAACTTCATTAATCGAATGTAACAGGCTAAAGTATTGTAACTAAAAAATTGAGTATTGGTTATAAATAAAATGAATCTTACAAATAGGTCATAGTAGGATCATCCCAACAAACTAACCAATCAAACAACTAACAAAACCAACCAAATGAACCAGTCAACAACTTACAAAACCCCACCAAACTAACCAGTCAAACAACTAACAAAACCCCACCAAACTAACCAGTCAAACAACTAACAAAAACCCAAACACACTAACAAGTCAAACAACTAACAAAACCCCACCAAACTAACCAGTCAAACAACTAACAAAGCCCCAACCAAACTAACCAAACAACTAACAAAACTCCCCAAAACAAACCAGTCAAACAACTAACAAAACCCCACCAAACAAACCAGTCAAACAACTAATAAAACCCCACCAAACAAACCAGTCAAACAATTACAAAACCAACCAAACTAACCAGTCAAGCGAATAACAAAACCCCCCAAAATAACCAGTCAAATAACTAAAAAAAACACAACAAACTAACCAGTCAAACAACTAATAAAACTCCCCCAAACAAACCAGTCAAATAACTAACACAACCCCACCAAACTAACCAGTCAAACAACTAACAAAACCCCACCAAAATAACCAGTCAAAAAACTAACAAAACCCCACCAACTAACCAGTCAAACAACTAACAAAACCCCACCAAACTAACCAGTCAAACAACTAACAAAATCCCACCAAACTAACCAGTAAAACACCTAACAAAATCCCACCAAACAAACCAGTAAAACACCTAACAAAACCCCACCAAACTAACCAGTCAAACAACTAACAAAACCCCACCAAACAAACCAGTAAAACACCTAACAAAACCCCACCAAACTAACCAGTCAAACAACTAACAAAATCCCACCAAACAAACCAGTAAAATACCTAACGAAATCCCACAAAACTAACCAGTCAAACAACTAATAAAAACCCCACCAAACTAACCAGTAAAACACCTAACAAAATACCACCAAACTGACCAGTCAAACAACTAACAAAAGCCCACCAAACTAACCAGTCAAACAACTAACAAAATCCCAAACAACTAACCAGTCAAACAACTAACAAAACTCCCCCAAACAAACCAGTCAAACAACTAACAAAACTCCACCAAACAAACCAGTCAAACAACTAACAAAACCCCACCAAACTAACCAGTCAAAACATCTAACAAAACCCCACCAACCTAACCAGTCAAACAACTAAAAAAAGCCCACCAAACTAACCAGTCAAACAACTAACAAAACCCCACCAAACTAACCAGTCAAACAACTAACAAAATCACACCAAACAAACCAGTCAAACAACTTACAAAATCCCACCAAACTAACCAGTAAAAAACCTAAATAAATCCCACCAAACTAACCAGTCAAACAACTAACAAAACCCCACCAAACTAACCAGTCAAACAACTAATAAAAACCCCACCAAACTAACCAGTCAAACAACTAAAAAAATCCCACCAAACTAACCAGTCAAACAACTAACAAAACCCCACCAAACTAACCAGTTAAACAACTAACAAAACCCAGCAAACTAACCAGTAAAACACCTAACAAAACCCAACCAATCTAACCAGTAAAACACCTAACAAAATCCCACCAAAATAACCAGTAAAACACCTAACAAAATCCCACCAAAAAAAAAGTCAAACAAATAACAAAACCCCACCAAACTAACCAGTCAAACAACTAACAAAACCCCACCAAAATAACCAGTAAAACACCTAACAAAATCCCACCAAACTAACCAGTAAAACAACTAACAAAACCCCACCAAACTAACCAGTCAAACAACTAACAAAATCCAACCAAACTAACCAGGACAACAACTAACAAAATCCCACAAAACTAACCAGTCAAACAACTAACAAAATCAAACCAAACTAACCAGTAAAAATCCTAAATAAATTCCACCAAACTAACCAGTCAAACAACTAATAAAACCCAACCAAACTAACCAGTCAAACAACTTATAAAAACCCCACCAAACTAACCAGTAAAACACCTAACAAAATCCCACCAAACTAACCAGTCAAACAACTAACAAAACCCCACCAAACTAACCAGTCAAACAACTAACAAAACTCCCCCAAACAAACCAGTCAAACAACTAACATAACCCCACCAAACAAACCAGTCAAACAACTAACAAAACCCCACCAAACTAAGCAGTCAAAACATCTTAAAAAACCCCACCAAACTAATCAGTCAAACAACTAACAAAACCCCACCAAACTAACCAGTCAAACAACTAACAAAACCCCACCAAACTAACCAGTCAAACAACTAACAAAACCCCACAAACTAACCAGTAAAACAACTAACAAAATCCCACCAAACTAACCAGTCAAACAAATAACAAAATCCCACCAAACTAACCAGTAAAACACCTAAATAAATCCCAACAAACTAACCAGTCAAACAACTAACAAAACCCCACCAAACGAACTAGTCAAAATACTAATAAAAACCGCACCAAACTAACCATTCAAACAACTAACAAAACCCCACCAAACTAACCAGTTAAACAACTAAAAAAACCACCAAACTAACCAGTAAAACCCCAAAAAAAACACAAACAAACAAACCAGTAAAACACCTAACAAAAACCCACCAAACTAACCAGTCAAACAACTAACAAAACACCACCAAACAAACCAATCAAACAACTAACAAAACCCCAACAAACTAACCAGTAAAACACCTAACGAAATCCCACCAAACTAACCAGTCAAACAAACATCACCTAAACAAACAAGCCAGTCCAACAACACCCCAACAAATAAGCCAGTCTAAAAACACCTTAGGAAATAATCCAGTCAAACAAACAGCACCTCAACAAACAATCCAGTCAAATAACTAACAAAACCACACCAAACTAACAAGTCAAACAACTAACAAAACTCCCCCAAACAAACCAGTCAAACAACAAACAAAACCCCAACAAACAAACCAGTCAAACAACTAACAAAACCACACCAAACTAACAAGTCAAACAACTAACAAAACTCCCGCAAACAAACCAGTCAAACAACTAACAAAATCCCAACAAAAAATCAGTCAAACAACTAACAAAACCACACCAAACTAATCAGTCAAACAACTAACAAAACTCCCCCAACAAACCAGTCAAAAAACTAACAAAATCCCACCAAACAAACCAGTCAAACAACTAATAAAACCCCACCAAACTAACCAGTCAAACAACTAACAAAACCCCACCAAACTAACCAGTCAAACAACTATTTAAACCCACCAAACTAACCAGTCAAACGAATAACAAAACCCCACCAAACTAACCAGTCAAACAACTAATAAAACCACACCAAACTAACCAGTCAAACAACTAACAAAACTCCCCCAAACAAACCAGTCAAACATCTAACAAAACCCAACCAAACAAACCAGTCAAACAACTGACAAAACCCCACCAACCTAACCAGTCAAACATCTACAAAAACCACCAAACTAACCAGTCAAACGAAAAAAAAAACCCACCAAAATAACCAGTTAAATAACTAACAAAACCACACCAAACTAACCTGTCAAAAAACTAACAAAACTCCCCCAAACAAACCAGTCAAAAAACTAACAAAACCCCACCAAACAAATCAATCAAACAACTAATAAAAACCCCACCAAACTAACCAGTAAAACACCGAACAAAATCCCACCAAACTAACCAGTCAAACAACTACAAAACCCACCAAACTAACCAGTCAAACGAATAACAAAACCCCACCAAAATAACCATTCAAATAACTAACAAAACCACACCAAACTTACCAGTCAAACAACTAACAAAACCCCACCAAACAAACCAGTCAAACAACTAATAAAACCCCACATAACTAACCAGTAAAACACCTAAAAAAATCCCACCAAACAAACCAGTCAAACAACTAACAAAACCCCACCAAACTAACCAGTCAAACAACTAACAACACCCCACCAAACTAACCAGT